TCTCGCGGTCATTTTGAATTGCCTGCTGTACCGCTTCTATGTCGTCAATGGCATCGCTAATGCCCAGGCTTCTCCCCTGCAGCCTCTTTGACAGTGGCAAACTCAGTGCTAGCATGTTCTACACCACATGCAGTCTTGCAAGGAAGATGGTGGCAAGAGTGTCAACATTATAGACTGTTTGCCTGCGCTGGACTTTCACCTCTTCCGCTGAATTTAATCTCCTCTAGTGCGGTGATCGACAGTTCAAAAAATGCGCCGCCTCATATAGACTTGGAACAGCTAAAACATCATTTTTCGCAAAACGTGTGAGCGGCTCGAAGATTTACGGAAAAAAGACGGACGTTGCTTTTAGAGTCCCGAAACAGTTTCTGATATTTGTGATGGAGCGTGGCGTGAGTGAGTATATGGCGAGTGCAGTGAGTGTAGAAGAGTGCGGGTGGATATTTCTCACGAACAGCAGTTTGACCCTATTCATTGTGCCAGCCATCGAGCTCGCACCATCGTGTACCCTCGACGACCACGAAGATGCTGCATGTTAATACCCACGCCTAGGAGGAACCTTCGTGAATTGGCACAAAGCCTAAGAGCACTTCTTCGATTTCGTTGGCATCTTTATTAAGGTAAACCTTGCCCCGCCGCGGTAGTCTAGTGGCTAAGGTACTCGGCTGCTGACCCGCAGGTCGTGGGTTCAAATCCCGGCTGCGGCGGCTGCATTTCCGATGGAGGCGGAAATGTCGAGGCCCGTGTGCTCAGATTTGGGTGCACGTTAAAGAACCCCAGGTGGTCAAAATTTCCGGAGCCCTCCACTAAGGCGTCTCTCATAATCATATGGTGGTTTTGGGACGTTAAACCCCACAAATCAAATCAATCATTAAGGTAAACCTTGCGCAGACAGTAAGCTGCTCGATACCAGCAACATCCGTCGTTTCATCAGCGAGTACGGAAAAGCAGCCTGCAGCGTTTACTTTTGTGTCTAGGCTTTCCTTGATTGCCGTAGAGATTGCTATATTCCGATTTTGCACATCTGGACTTAAATACGACGCATTATTTGGGCAACTTTCCAAATGTTTTTTTGGGGGGTCTATGCCGCCACAATCCACACGCATGCGAAGCAGCGCTCTCAAGTATTTGTAGAAAAAACTGTGCTTAGATACATGCGCGCATGTGTGGTCCTTGCCAAGCTCGCTTCTGCTGAAAAGGGCGCACACTCGGCAATACGCGCCCTCTTGAAGCGCCGAGTAGCTAAGCCATTGGTACCTGTCTAGCAAATTCATTTGAAGCCTGTGTTTTCGCTTCACATTGTTCATTCATTTAAACATGTAGCCCGGCGGAGGCAACCAAGGAGAAGTTAGCAGTGAATGTTCTGTCTGATCATCCGCTTTTGAGACATCTGTGTAGAGTCCAACATCAAGCTTGCTTTATAGGCTGACATTTTCAGGAATCTGAAACGAATGAATAATTAAGACGTCACAATTTATTTAGTACGTTATCACTGCCCCTTTCTTAAAGCATACGCAAAAAGTAAACCGATAAAGAAAGAATAGGAGGCAGTTCTCACGAGAAGAGACATTTAGCACAGAAGGTACATGCGTCTCTGACTCTGATGCCTCTGATGTCAGCGCCTTCTTTCGAGTCGCATAGGTGATGATGTATCTTGAAGAAATATCTGTGTAAAAAGGAAAGAAAGTAAGTTTGAGATCCGTTAGACCGCTATTCCATTTGAAACAAAGCGGTTTGAAGTTCGTGGCAAAAGCGTGTCTTGAACAATTTCTTCTTCCTGTTTATCGCTTGTTACAACATGCGTGACAGACTGGCGGTAGTGTAGCAGTGAGTCCGTGTTTTTCCTCCTCAAGCGAGGTTCTTCCTGACTACTCGTAGCCTAACGCGCAGGTCCTCAGTTCGATCTTACTGAACAGTTCTTTTCGAACCAACTGACATAAAGCACCTACGTTTTGTTTTCTGCAAGATTAAAAAAAAAAAACGCGTATGCGCCGGCAACACCATAGCGTCAGTCTTTCAGCGTTGGCGCGGGGACATGTTTTGCGAGTTTTGAAAGGTTTGAAACGACATTACCGAATTTGATCCATCTGCACTCATTGTATAATGTGTCAGCTGTTTTAACGCGACTGCGTTGGAGATCTCGTTTGGCGGAAATTCCGGTGTCGGCAGTTGTGAGTGAAAAATGAGCGTTGTTTGTGAGTGGAAAAAAATTAGACATGCAAATAAAGTAAATATTAATATGTTCAGTTTGAATAAAAATTGAGCCCAGGCTTTTTTTTTTGCGTGGCAAGCAGACGTTCTACCATAGCACCACACCACGGCTGAAAACAGCCTAAAGAAAACTATAAATGGGTATTATATGGTGGGAGGAACCATCTCAACGCATGACACAGCCCCGCCGTGGTGGTCTAGTGGCTAAGGTACTCGGCTGCTGATCCGCAGGTCGCGGGTTCGTATCCCGGCTGCGGCGGCTGCATTTCCGACGGAGGCAGTAATGTTGTAGGCCCGTGTGTTCAGATTTGGGTGCACGTTAAAGAACCCCAGGTGGTCAAAATTTCCGGAGCCCTCCACTACGGCGTCTCTCATATTCATATGGTGGTTTTGGGACGTTAAACCCCACATATCAATAAATCTATCAACGCATGCCACGTTGTGTGGAAAAAGCGTAGAATCACACCAGGTGTCAGCACATGTGAATTCCGCAATGATTTGTAGTTCTAAGGGATCACCTATTGCAAAGCGTTCCATCTCATAAATAAATCGTCACCAGTTGCAAAAGCATCAACAACGTGAGCTGCTGCTCAGGTTCAGGTCGCGTAATAATCGGGCTTTTCGTCGACTCTCAAAAAGGTATAATTGCAGCGTAGTGGACCCCTCCCATTTGCAGTAGAAATTTCGGTTTAGTTTGAAAAGACGAACATTATGCACACAGGTATCCGTTTCTTTGCGTACAGCACGGTTGAGGCATCGATCGAGAACCGATGTGAGGCTAGCAGCGGAGAAAGCGGTGTGTACGGGGCCTATCACATTCTACTGTTGCGCTGTCACGTTCGCGCTATCACGTTCTACCGTCGAAGGCAGAGCTATGACGTCCTCTCACGTTTTGACCGCAGTTCTTCCACGTGACAGACAAAACTGATAACCCAAGCAAATGCTCAGTTGGCCTGGTTTTAAGTTTTACACAATTACTGCGAAGTTAGAACAGCCGTGCTGCACACGCACAGCTCGACGGGCAAAGTTCTGCTCACCATAATTAAAAACCGAAAATGAGACCGGAGTGGGTAAATTACAAAGAGTGGATTCTTCGTCCATTTGAAGGAGCCGAACCTGCGAGACGTCTTTTTTTTTGTCAGCATCAAGTTGCGAGCTTTTCCGATGTCCTACGCAAGCAATGATAGCGCTGGTGAATTACGGTGAATTAACTTGTACGAGAATTTTCTCGGATGACCATATGAGTGAAGCACAGTACCAGTTTAACAATAACAATATTTATTGCTATTTATTTTCAATACCTCTAGCACAGAAGCGGAAGGCATTATTTCAGGAAGTAATACACACGTGCTCGTAGAAATAGACAAATGATCAAAGAAAACTAACAGAACTGAAATCGAAAAAAAAAACGCAAGGTCACGCCGTTGTGCATTTAACAGTATAATGCTCTGAACAATGCTCCAGTATACGACAATCCTCATTGGCCCTGCCGCGGTGGTCTAGTGGCTAAGGTACTCGGCTGCTGACCCGCAGGTCGTGGGACCAAATCCCGGCTGCAGCGGCTGCATTTCCGATGGAGTTGAAAATGCTGTAGTCCCGTGTGCTCAGTTTTGGGTGCACGTTAAAGAACCCCCAGGTGGTCGAAATTTCCGGAGCCCTCCACTACGGCGTCTCTCATTATCATATGGTGGTTTTGGGACGTTAAACCCCACAAATCAAGAATCCGCATTGGGCTGCTGTAGCTGTTTTCAGTGGGCTATTGTGAGTGCTGCAAGGCGTTACTTCTATAAATTCCTTTAGTTTTTACGATAACATACTTATTAAGTTAGTTGTTAAACGTAAGTTTTCTTTGTCCTTGTGTATTTTACCCATTCCGGGAAGAAATTTTCGAAAGCATTTCCAACCTCCTGCATTTTCTGCGTGTGCTCGAAAGGGCCCTGCAACAACTTTGCAGCATGGTCAGAAAACGCTGCCGAGAGGATGTCTGGGCTCTTGAAAACAAGCGAGCGAAACCTTATGGCATCGCACGCGGCCTGGAATTTACGATGGAGCCCAATGAGTTCCTCCCCCCGGGCGACGCCACTGGTCGGTGGTGCATGAAAGCACGGAAAATTTCGGGGGGGGGGGGGGGGGGGGGCGCCGCTCCCCACCCTGTCTACGCCACTGGACAGAGGCACATCCGGCAGTCAATGACACGACCGCAAGCGTGGCCACAGCTACTTTGATGAACGGTTCCGCAAGCTGGCATAGGAAGGCGCACAGCAGTGGCACCCCCCCCCCCCCCCTATTTCTGTGACCCCCTCCATAGGGCAAACATCCACAAAACACAACGAAAGTACCCCGCCTCCCTGCCCCACTGCCTTTATTTCTTAGTCAATAGAAAGACAGGAGACCCTCCCCTATAATCTGTCTACCACCCTTCTATATGAAGCAGACGTCTACATAACACAACGCCAATATCGCAAAAACTATGCAAATATCCCGCCTTCCTACCTTCACTCCTTTCCCCCTCAGTCAAGAAATCTTGACGCCGCTCCTGAAGATAGGGGGCCAACTCCATAAACCCCAGGAAGAGAAAGCCTATTGCCAACGCTCCGAACCGAACAGGAAGTATGTGGCCGGTGACCCAACCTTGAAACGGAACCAAGCGCCTGGGCGGCAGCGCGCTTCCAAGCAGCGGGCCCCTGCATGACGTCACGGCACGTGACCCGACGTCACGTGAACGCCTTTGCGGGAGCGCCGACGGGCGGGGGAAACGCCGACGCGCCGAGGGATGCGGAGAGCGATCGCGTCGTTCGGCTGCTCGCGCTCAGCCTCTGCAGAGATCAGTTCGCTGGCGGACTTCGCTAGTGACGGTTGGTCCGCTTGGTTCCCGACGTTGTAGGCGTCCAGAAGGAAGTCGTGTGCGCGCGTGCGAAGCTGCGCCTTCCTTCACTCTTCGCTGGATGAGCCCGGCTTTTCTCGGTCGTCTCCTGCCAGTGTTGACCGGCCGTTTTCGTCTGCTACCTTCCTTCCATATTCCTGTGGCCACAGGCTCGTGCGTGAAGTTGTGCTGCCGTGCTTCTTTCGCCGGGTGGCCCACGCGAGTCGTTGTTTTGTTCCGTTGCGGAAGAAACAGCCCGCGGCTAGTGCTTTATCATTGCAACCCAAGGAGGGAGGCGTTGACGGAAGCATCGAGGAAACGACCAAGTGCGCGGATTCATCATCGCCCCGTGTGGGATGCCTCGCATGAGGTGAGTAGCAGACGACGCTCTTTTAGCGTTTTTGTCTCGCGTTTTCTCGTGTCAAACGGAGCGTTTCACTGCTCTACGCCTGTGGCTACACGGTGGTGGAGAATATGGCGCTGAATGAGGTGACTTCTAGCTGTTTGAACCCGTGAAAAACGAGGAAATGTAATCGTTCGGGTACGAGAAAGGAAAACGTTGCAGTAGAGTTGTGTCGCACGTGGCTCGCGGTGGTACTCGCCGCCTGTCAATCACAGTCTCGACGCCGGTCACTTGTACTGAGCTAATATCAGGTTTCGTGATTACGATATGTTTCCTGCGAGGAACTCTGTCGGGGATGCCTCACGTATAGTACGGACGGCAAAAAAAAAAAAAAAAAAGAATCGTATCTGTTTTTTCTTTCCACAAGCACTTGATGCTTCGACTGACTGTTTTTTAAAATTGTTTCGAAGGAAAAAAAAACGTTTTTATCAGTTACAGACAAACATAAGCCAACGTAAATGTCATAAATAATGTTTACTTGCTAAATTGCTGAGCAATTCTGTTTGGCTCAGCCCTTCTCAATCGTTTTATCTTCTCTTCAGATCAAAAACTGGTCTTCGTGGTGATTACGTAATGACTCTATCGTTAGGCCTGAAATTTTGATCGGTGAAGGCGACCGTACTTCATGCACAGTGAAAGAAAACAAGCAGTGTTAAGTGACCCCCCTCCCACCCCCCTAAAAAGAATGAAAGAAAATTGAAAGAAAAATGAACTGAATAACAGATAATGTTGATAAAAAGGAAGTTCTGGTAATAAATATATTTTTTGTAGCATAAGTGGCAGCCTTATAAGCTACTTATGCGATTTAGTGTCGATTCGACGTGGTACTGGGCTTAAAGTGGTCCATGAAAATTCGGCAGATCCCACTTACCTGGGAGTCACCGTCATGCGAAATATGCGGAGGGAAGGTGACCGTTTTGTAATTTTTTTAAAAATTAGTGACACGTCATGCAATGACGCTAATTATATGTACAGACTTTGCACGCACAGATGTATGTTGAACAGTTGCAGATGTTTGTATAGCCAGTTGTTTGCACTTGCGCAACGGTGCCAACAGAAACGGAGTATTAGCAACAAAGCAATAAGCCGATATGAAGCGGTGGTGCGGGCGAGGGGGGTAGCCCTCGACACTGCTACATAAATCAACTTCAGCGCATGACAGGTACCAACAATTGACGTTAACCCAGCGTGGCTGCTGTATCAGAGGAGTACATATGCAATGTTTATTAAACTGGATAGACAGCACAGCAACCACATTATACGTTTCACAAACATTATGGTCTATTCGAAATGTAGTTCCGAGATCTGGCGTGGCTCTGTGGTGCAATACTTAATTGCCGCGCGTAATCCTGGTATTCGATACCTTGGAATTTATTTTACCGTGAAAGCTGTTGTGAGATCACATCTAGGGTCACGTGCAGTGGTCCGCCACCGCCGAGCACATAGCACTAAAAACACATGGGGCTTGAAACGTAGGTCTGCTATGGGTGGCAGCCCTGTATTGTACCACGGAGCTACGGCGGTGCTTGGGACTTTTTGTCAAACTTGTCTTAGGCAGGCTTGATGTCGGGAAAGCAATCGCGTTAATACAACTCATAAAGCGTTTTAAAACAGCGAAACAACAACCAGGCGTCACACATTGTGAATAGCTTAACGAGCGGGTCGTCCAATGCTCGAACACATTACAAAAAAACTTGTTCTTGTTCCCCTATTGACTGTGACGCGTACCCACTTCAGCCACAATTTCTCATCGTCGTCAGCCACTGCATGAACAATTGGTTCAAAATTTCTTGCAAGTGTTCAGCGGATACCACGCTTCTCAGAAGAATGACGAAAAATAGCACAGCGAATGCCGGCAAGAAAGTTTATTATTACCCAAAAGTTTGTTATTAATGTCCTAGTGGGTATCAAGCAAGTGTGCTTGCAGTAGTTACCCAATGAGTGTTTTGAAAGGCCGCTCTTCTAGCTTTCGCCGTGACTGTGCCACGCGCCTTCCTCGCAGGCCTGGCATTTTTTTTCGCATTCATCGGGTCAACTATGCTGATGTCAGGGTTTTCTTAACTCTCACCCGTTAAAATTACACATGTATGTTCTCGCCGTTCCTGGGTATCTACCAAGGGTCTATCATACGTGCATTCCAGTGGCACATACCCGCCTGCGGGTATGTGCCACGGTTTGGCGGGAAGTGTTTGATGACGTACGCGACGGGATTGTGACCTTATTCATGTCTTGGGCCAGCGCGTCATGTTCCTCAAACCACCTTACCCTCCCATACTAATTTTTGTTCACACCGAGTCAAGAGGGTGATCACGAGGGCACCCAGACACGTAAGCGGACAGACCGACAGACAGACAGACAGACAGACAGACAGACAGACAGACAGACAGACAGACAGACAGACAGACAGACAGACAGACAGACAGACAGACGGACGGATGGACGGACGACAGACGGACGGACGGACGGACGGACGTACAGACGGACGGACGGATAGACGGACGGATAGATGGATAGATGGATCGATGGATAGATGGATCGATGGATAAATAGATAGATAGACGGACGGACGGATAGGTAGATGGATAGGTAGATAGATGCCAAAAGATGGATAGATAGATGGATGCCAAAAGTGCTTAGAGCACGCAAAGAAATGCTTCGCATTTAATAACTTCTGTGCTTCTGCATGCCAAAACCACGATATGAGGCGCAGTGAAGTGGAGCGCTCGGGAAATTCAGACCATCTGTAGTGTCCTTCACCCGGCACTGAAACGCACTGCAAATGGGGCTCTGTCATTTCACCTGCATCGAAACGCGACTGCCACCGCTGGTACCGAAACCGCGAACTTCGTGTCTGCAGCCGCGCACTGCAACCACTACGGCGGATCGAAGCGTTCAAGTGTGATCATACGCACAACGACGCCTCTTAAAAAGAGGAAACTGCGGCATAGCCGTTGAACCTTCCGCCCTAAATATGCGAACGTATCAGTCTGAGAAACGCCACACGATAAATCGCATACACGTTAATTTTCGTTTATGAAGTTGGGAACCTCCTCAATTACAAGAAAAAAAATACAGAAAATAAGACTGCCCTAAAAGGTAACCACGACAGAAAAAAAAAAAACTTGTCTTCATGTATATGCGAAAATAACGACCGCAACAAAACAAAGTTGAACAGGCAGACCGACCAAGAACCTGTATTTCAATGCTATAACTGTCAACCTGGACTGTGATTTTACTACGTGTCGCACTCTATATACTCCCGCCCGCGCGTATGTTTTTATTCATTCGCTTATTTACTTTTTTTTTCTTGGCCAGCGCGGTGCGGTGTCATACTGGTGCGAATGAACGACCTTGCGAGGCAGCTGGTTCCCGCACCTGCGGACCGTCAGAGAGAGAGAGAGAGATAAAACAAATGACGAGATAGCGGGCGCACCCTTTCAACGATCAATATCATCGCATAGTTTCGTACCCCGTGCTTATCGTCGGCCTTCATCGGGCTTTTGATATAGTGACCGAAAGTGAAATGCCGTTTTCGCCTTCTCGAGAGTTTTGCCGTGCAATGCCGCGACAGCATCTATGAGCTTTCTCTGTCTGCCTCGTTGAATACGGTTGGTCGACCGCCAAGAAGACTCTGCCGTTCTGCAAAGCACAGCGCGTTGAGATAGAAGTGCAAGTGGCGATAAATTGAATGCAGCAGGGAACGCATGACGCCAAAGGCGTGAAAGTGCGGTAGCTTCACGGGTTGTTTAAGGACGTTTATAGAAGTTCACTGTATTAAGAAAAATATGAGGGGTGGAGGTTAACCGGTTGGTTATCTGGTTTTCGACTGTAAAATGGGACAAGGTTGGAGGGCACTCGATATATACGAAAAGTAAAGAGAGAACGTGTAACCATTCAACGAGTTTCACGTAGGGATTGCTTCGTTGAGATCAGTAGCGTTGCAAGAGGGCAGGAGTCAGGTTGCGATGTGAATAGATTAGCCCCCCCCCCCCTCAGAGTGTTTACATTTGTTACCTTTAACATACTACACAGCTATATAAGAACACACACGCTAATATAATTGTTTTTTAATCCAGGTATTATTAGGGACGAAGCTCTTAAGGACCTAGCCTTGTCGTCGTCTGCGTCCGTCACGGGTAGATTCGTGGATGTGAGACACACAAAAATAAATGTTTAAGGATAGATTAATATCAATCATAAGTGTGACAGAACAGTATAACACACCTAGATATAAAAACCATTTATACTAGTCAGAGACGTCGACGTACACATTATAGACCTTAGAACCTACCTTTGTCGTCGAAGCCCACTGTTCGCTGTCATGTCGGTTAGATAACAGCTGCAATAGTCGAAACGTGTGTATATCAATAATAAAGGTTTGCAATAGACGAACAGCGATTATAACTGCGTAGGTACAATATAAAACACAAGCACTACTTTTTATACTAGTCGGTGACTTCAACTTACACATGATCGACTTTACCGAGCTTTGTTGTCGACTCTTGATTTCACTAAGTTTGTATTATACGGGGAAACAACGCTCAGTTTCTATATCTGAGACAACGCACACATACACGCACAATAAAAAAAAAGCTTAACAATGCACTTATCAATCATAATCTAGACAGAGTAATATAAAGCAGCTACAAGCACAAACCCTTCATACTAGTCGTCCACATCAACATTATGGACCTTAGGACCAAGCTTTGCCCTCTCGTCATCATTCCTGTTGAATTCCAATGGCAGATCGCGAGGACTGGGCCGGATTGCGAATGGAGCGCGCAGATCCGAGCGGGTTTGCTCATCGCCAAATCTGCGATTTGAATGCGCGCGTCTCCACTTGAGCTGTTGATGAGCGGAAATCTAGCGAGGGAGCACGAGAGGGTGCGAGGGAGTGCAAAGCGTTTCCCGGACATCCATCGGTGATTGGATGAAAGGCGGGCGTACAGAGTATACGTCGATTGAAC